TTTTTCTTTTTTCTTTTTTTTCTTTTTTTTTCTTTTTTTCTTTTTTTTGTTTTTTTTTCTTTTTTGTTTGTTTTTTTTTTCTTTTTTTTGCTGAGTTTTTTTTTGTGAGTATATTTTTACTTCCTTCTCATCAAGTTATTTTTTCATCATTTTATATGTCTAATTACGTTATATTTAGTAGATATACCTGTTTGAGTAGACATCTCTGTTTTTTTTTTAAATAGTATAATTGACGTCTACCGGACTGGGTTTATCGAAAGTCTCCCAGCGGATTGAGTCCTCTAGGTCACTGGCGTGTTTATGAAAAAATAAACACGTAAAAAATTTTCCTTTCTCTTTGCCGATAGCCTAGGGGTTAAAATCTCCGTCTGATACTATTGTGGTAGGATCCACCTAATTTGCATAATGGAGTACCGACCATATAAATATGGTTGGTACCGGGAAGACAGGGAGGAATCAAGAGATTCAATCCAGAGACTCTGCCCGACTGCGACTCAGTCAACACATTCTCCAGGAACGGTCTTACCAGGAATATACAAAAGACTATATGTAAATATTGTGTACACTTTCTTGTTTCAATACATTTTGTTGTAAGTACATTTTGTGTTGCATTATTATTCCATGCATTAGTCAAGTTTCAACAGATACCAAATCGGTCGGGTTTCGGTCCCGGCTTCAAGCGATCTGATATCTAGCTACACTGAGGAGCTGTGATGTAACGAAACAGTCTGTGGATGACAATATTAGCTCCCGAAAATAAATTAGGGAAAAAGCGCTTATTTGTAAACAGTGACTATTACTGGTAATAATGCAAGACTCTCCCAATGGATTGAGTCCTCTAGGTAACTGCTGTGTTTATGAAAAAATAAATACACAAATATTCTTTCTCTCTGCCGTGCATCGATAATCTAGGTGTTAGAATCTCCGACTGATACAAAATCGGTCTGGTTTTGGTCGGACTGCGAAGGTGTGATACAGCGAAACAGTCTTTCTGTGGAAGACTATATATATATATATATATATATATATATATATATATATATATATATATATATTACTATAAACGGTGTTTTTAGTGGGTACACGTATTTCTCGATTCCAGTCAATTTCTCACCGACATGACATAGTTTCCTTCAGCAATTTCTACAAATATTTTCATGGCATCAACACTGAGGAGCTTTTTTCCCTGGTGAATTTAAGCTTGCTACTAGATTGGCATTTAGGTCCCATCCTTTTACAGTTGAAATAGTTAAATGCAACTGCTACTTCTACTCCAACAGTTTCTTTTCTTGCTCTTCCCATCCGTGGAACTCCCTTCCGTTGACTTTCTTCCCTGATAAATACACTCTTCAAAAATTTAAATGCAACGTCAGTCGCCATTTTCTATCTTCTTGAACCTCGTCCATCTTTTGTCCTTTCCTCATTCCTCCCTATTCTCTGTCAGTTTCACTCCCTGTCCGCCCCCCTGCGTACTAGTGGTATTCTCGCGTTGCTTGGGGTGAAATGGTTATTTAAAAATAAACATATTTTAGTTGCTATCACTGTTTTTCTCCTTCTTATGAAAGGTTGTGGATCCGACAGGAGTCGAACCTGTATCCCCTTTTCCATCAGAGAAACCGTTTGCATTTGCCGCTTCGACCACGGAGGCCGGGTTAATAGAGCAATGTTTGAGTCATCTATTTAACGGATACACATTTATCGTTTGGACTGATAAGAATCTATTTCTGTCATGAAATAATGTTGGATAAAAATATGTGTGTGTGTGTGTGTGTGTGTGTGTGTGTGTGTGTGTGTGTGTGTGTGTGTGTGTGTGTGCGCGCGCGCATGTGTGTGTGCAAGTGTATGTGTGTTCGTGGGTGTGGATGTGTGTGCGTGCGTGTGTGTGTGCGCGCGTGTGTATAATGTCGGTTAAAAATATGTGTGCGTGTGTATAATGTAGGATAAAAATATGTGTGGAGGTGTGCGTGCGTGCGTGTGTGTATAATGTCGATTAAAAATGTGTGTATAATGTAGGATAAAATATGTGTGGGGGTGTGCAGCATGCGTGGGTGCGCGTGTGTATAATGTCGGATAAAAGTCTGTGTGTTTGTGTGTGTATGTGTGTGCGCGCACGCGCACTCGTGGGTGGGTATGTAAAATATATCTGGATATATGTAGAAAATAAAAGGGCTGATATTTACTAAGTGCAGTAAACAATTTATCAGCTCAAAACGCAGCTGAAATTCACGTCAAGTTATTTGATATTTTCTCCAGAAGTAAAGAAAGAAAAATTGGGACAAAGAATTTTTTTAATGGTCCGATTCTTTAAATCATTTTTTTTTTTTTTTTTTTTATTATTATTATTATTATTATTATTATTATTATTATTATTATTATTATTATTATTATTATTATTATTTTATTTATTATTATTATTATTATTCCTCCATTTTATTTATTTAAGTTTTCTTTTTCTGCGTGTTAAATGAAAAGCAGCTTTTCTTGCCCAAACAGCGGCGACTGTTTGTTGTCTTTCTATCAATAACTGTTGTAACTTGCCTCGTTTACTCAAGATATCTTTTTTTCTTTTCTTTTTCAGATTTAATTTTCTTTCATTCGCTTTCAATTTCTCGTTGCATTTTCTTTTATTTCGTTTCGTATTTTATATTTTGTAATGGAGTCCAGATGCGTCAAGCAAACTTGAGTTGAATGCCGATGTAATCCGAAGTTTGCCGAAGATGGCCAAACGTTTAAACCCCAAATGGAGAAACGCTCATGCGTCTCATAAGACAAAAATAACCTCCACTAAACACACAAATATGGCGACACACGCATATTTAAAACATTACGGCATTTCTGTCATCTCATATGGTATTTTATTCTTTTTATTTTAAGTTACGTTAAACCAGGCATGTCGGTATAACTATGATTGTTTAAAGTTCGGGGTAGTGGTTTTAAAAATCTGGGCTATCACCACTCAAGAAATTCGTACAGGAGGCAGGGTTGTGTGTTATAAAACGAAGCAGTTTCAATTTCAGCATCTTAAAACCACGGGCGTAACCAGATTCCAAAGTTAGAGGAGGCAGCTCATAAAAATGGCGCCAAGACACGTACTAAATCATTTTAAATTCATTATACATTTTATTTTGTATATAAATGCAAGACATAAGATGCAGTTTAGAAAAAATAGTTCATACTTATTTTGTAAAGCAGAAAAATCATTTTAAAGTAAAGTCTTGGTTCTATATTAAGAAGAGTAAAATTTGTCTTAAAAAAGACTAAAATCATTTAATTATTTTACGTTTTAAGCATAAAAAGAAAACAAAGCGAAACTACCGATTTTTATTAACAATTGATTACCCAATACAAAGCTCAAGAGTCACTCAAGCTAGAGTGTTACAAAATGAGGTTATTTTATGAACGTAAGTGGAAGAGGTAAGAAGTGCAAGGATATGTAGGAAAGATAAATTTTAACCCAAAATTTGAACAAATTAAGTTTGTAGAAATCGAGGAATCATGCACTCTGTTCCTCGAAGCGGCTGTTCATGGGAAGAAGCTGTCCGAATGGAACTTCTTTCTTACTAATGGAATACAAAGGGAATAGGAAGACATGTGCCAGCCAACTTTCAATGAGACTTCAAACTTGCTAATTTATCAATTAAGTTGTCTCATATGAAATGTATTTTTTGTTTGCCGATTTTTGACAAAAAGTAGCATTTCTTTTGAATGACTTTCAATAACCAGCAAAGGGTTGATAAGCCGTAAAAGAAACTAATGAATCAATATAAGTAATATTATTTGTAGCCTCCAGAAAACGATAACAGTTAATCAATGTCAGCTGCACTTATTACACGAGTCCAGATTAGGCGACAAATGTTACGAAACCTTAACAAAAGAGCAGCTTGGCATTTGGCAGTGGTATTGATAATGTCGGAAATATACCAAGATGGATTCAGTAATTTGGAGAATTATCAGGATATATAGGAAAGATAAAAGGTAACCCTGTATTTGAAGACGTTAAGTTTGTAGAGAGCGAGGAATCATCCTCGAAGCGGCTGTTCTTGGGAAGAAACTGTTCGAATGGAACTTCTTTCTTACTAATGGAATACAAAGAGAATGGGAAGAAATGTGCCAACCAACTTTCAATGAGACTTCAGTCTTGCTCAGTTTTCAATTAGATTGTCTCATATGAAATGTATTTTTTGTTTGACGATTTTTGACAAAAATTAGTTTTGATTTATTGATATAAATCATTATTTTACTATTTATTCCTTAATAATCTCATTGTTATTTTTTATTCAGGTGTTTGCTTCCATGAAAAATATTATTCGTCGCCTCTTTTAATTCTATGAGAAACATTAACGATCACTGGAATTAACAACGTCCAACCCGGTGATCACTTGGATGGGTGACTGCTTGGGAATACCAGGTGCTGTAAACTTGAATGAGCGAATGGTGTAGTGGATAACAGCTCGGAATTCTTAATCGGAGATCCCAGTTCCTGTTGAGTTCGTTATATTCATTGAAACCCACTTTCTCACCTCCGCTATGGGTTAATTAGTAAAACTTGTATCACTAAATCATTATTATCAGTAAAAGTTTTAAAAAAAAAACTATTTAATCTAAAAAAAAATTTACAACTTAAAATTATTTTCTGACATTAATTAACTTGCAAAAGGTTGATAAGCCGTAAATAACAAATGAATCAATATAAGAAATATTATCTGTAGCCTCCAGAAAACAATAACTGTTAAACAATGTCGACTACGCTTATACGAATTCAGATTAAGTAACAATGGCTGTAAACCCTAAACTAAAGAGCAGCTTAGCATTTGGCAGTAGTATTGACAACTATACAAAGATGGATTCAGAAATTTCGTTCAGGAGAAAGTAGCTTTGAAACTGAAGCAGGAGGAAGACCTCATTCGGTTTGAAAAAATGGTCCACAGAATGCATTGTTTGGGAAAGACAACCTTAAAGCAACAGTCAGAGAACCTGTAGGATTTCTTGGAATATCTAACACAAAAAGAAGAAAGAAAGAAAGAAAGAAAGAAAGAAAGAAAGAAAGAAAGAAAGAAAGCGCTTAGACAAAGTCAATAGACATGGCTGAGTACTGCTCCATCGAAATCCGGCAGCAAAACCTCTGATCAGGATATTGAAGGTTTTTGAGGAGCGCAAAACCACTTCGTAACGACTGTTGTTCCCAGCTCCTTCCTGACCCGGGGTGGTAGAACCTGTTAGGGTCCCAGCTATGGGCAAATAGTGAATCCCTAAACAAAAATCAAAATCACATTTTTATAGTAAAATGACAATAGAACACTAAAAAATGTATAAAAATACACTTTTATAATAAAATTACTACCAATACACTTTTGTAGTGAAATTACTCGCAAAAAAAATATCAACGGTAATTATATGATCTACAGACTATAAATCTAAAAAGTATGTTTACCCTGAAAGTATAAAATTATGTACAAATATCGGTTTTTGAAAGCATAAAATTATGTACAAAATATTTAGATTTCAGCATTAAATAACCCATAGAGTTTAATATGCCGCAAAACAAAACCAGCAGCCGACTTCCTCCAGGATAATGCACATCATCACAGTTTAAAAGTTGCTCAGGCTTGATTATGCGATTTTCGAGGCTTCCTCCTTTTTCACCAGGCATCTCTTCCACAAATGATCACTTATTTAAACACTTTCAGCGTTCCGTACACACAAGAGAAGATGCTCTTAAGATGAAGAAGTAGTCGAAGCATTTGTACAGTTTATTAGGACAAAAAACGAAGAGTTTTGGGGGTTTTTTATGGGATAAACGGCGGTCAATTACGCTGACAAAAAATTGTAGAACAAAGCCAATATTATTTTGATTAAACTGTTTTTTTTTTTGGGGGGGTTATCATTCATCAAAATACGACAGTTTATATGGGACAATCTAACAGCTACCCTATGCTGCTAGGGAACTAATTTTGTATGAATAAAAACAAAAAGTAGCAGAAACTTCACTTTATTTGTATAGATTATTATAATGACCTCGAGAAGTAAAAAAAAACATTAATTTACTTCCAAAAATTAATTTACTAGCTAATCTTCTTACATGGCAGTAAACACTGAACAATTCCCTTACAGATTAAGAGGAGACTTCATGCATCAGATACGGTGTTCTACAGAAGGATTCTGGGAATATATTAATCTACCAGTTTATTATGTACCTATTAATATTTAATTAGAAACAAAGAAAAGGATGTTGAACTTCCTGCTGTTACAGTATAAACATAGCCTCTCCGCTAGCGGTGTACAACAAGGAGAAACAAAAAGCGGTGATCCGATTTCTCTGGTCGGAAGGTGTGTCATAGGCTAAAATTCATCGGAGGCTTTTAACACAAAATGGCGACAGTGCGCTATCGCATAGAAGTGTATATGAATGGATCGAGTTTAAAACTGGCCGGTAAAGCGTGACGCCCGCTGAAAGAGCAGAGGGCCCGTCAACCTCAACCAATGACGAGATGATTCAGTAAGCTTCACAGATGGTAATGGTGAACCGTCGAGTTTATCATCGATGACGTAACATGTTCTCTGTAGATTCGGATCACTGCTCCTTTGTTTCTCTTTGGTGCACACTGCTAGCGAAGCGGTCATGTTTACACTGTAACACAAGCAAGAAAACTGGCGCGATCAAGATAAAACTTCTATCACGGGACCACAACATTACCAACTATAAGAATGCATGAGCAGAAAGCAGTGTGACAAACTTAAAAATATGTTATGGTGAACGTGTAGATAATTCTTGACTTGTCCTCGTATATTTAGTAAAAGTCTTGCAACTAGTTTCTGGTTAACTCTAGCCATCCGACCGATTTGCAAAAATACAGCAAGTAAAACAAATATTGTAATTGCTCTTGATTGCTAAAACAATCATTGCAGACTAACTTTTAACTTCTTTCTTGTACCAAGTTGCAACGAAATGATTTCCTTTTGGAAGACTCGGAATTATCTTTTGAAACCTGGGAGAACCTTCAGAAAAATACCAGACTTGTCCTGCCAGGCTTTCTCTTTACAAGAGTCAGATCAGGCCAAAATGGAGTATTGCTGATATATCTGGGCTGAAGCTGCCGTGACAAATTTCAAAAGTGTTTACGCGGCCTACAAACGAAACGTTGCTAGTCTGTCGCTGCACTATCGCTGTTTTCGTGGTAAATGTTCCACTAAAACCTGCCATGTCATGTAAACAGGGTTAATTCATCTGCATTCCTTTCGTATTGCATTGATATGGAACACATTTCACTTAGCTTCTTTCTCAGAACTGGTACTTTGTGGAACAGACTCCCAGTTGGGTGCTTCCCTAATGTCTACGATTTTAACCATTTCAATTCTAGAGTCTATCCTATATATCTTCATAATATGCTCTTCTTACTAACTTCTTTTAAACCCTTGTAAATTGTTACTGAATAGATATAGGTTTTCTATATCTATTGTGTTTTCTATTGATTTGCGTCTTTTATATGCCCTAGTGCTTTCCTAGATTATGTTGTGGCTATTGAAACATCTCATGGGGATAAAGGATTTCAGTTGTTTTTACATAAGGGTGTTCAGTTCTGTTACTCTGGGGTTATCATTTGTTGAGATGTTGGGAGTGTTCCTGCGTGTGTGTATTCAAATAAAGACAAACACAGATGTAGGGAAAAATACTGGTATATTTGAAGAGGTATTTAACAACAGAGTGGTTAGTAATAACGAACGCAGGTTAGTAATGACAATCAGCAAGAGTTTAAAGTCCAACGGTAACTTCCGGTCGAGAGACGGAAGTGTAATGGTCACCTGATCTCTAATCCCTCTGGTCTCCTCTAGCACTGTCCTATATCGTAGAGGGATCAGTCCATTCTTAGTCAGAAGGTGGGTGCGCCCCAACATCATTTGAGGATGTAGATTGAAGATATAAATGTGTTGTGTGTTGTTGCTGATATAGCAATGGCTGACAGGTTGATATTCAGGTTGATCTGACTACGTAGTATGTCATTCTTAATGAGGTTTGATGCCCCACCGGACGCTTTAATTGATTCGTTTCTTTACGGTTTATCAAGCCTTTCCGGGTCATTTAAAGCCAGGGAATATTTTTTAGATTGTAAGAATTTTTTTTGGATAATGGTTTACTGATACAAGTCTTACTAATTTACCTATAGCTGAGGAGAGCTTGATTTATAACTTTCCCAAAAGTATTAGCGCCTAAGTAAATGTAATGAACTCGACGGCAATTGGAAATCGAGTTGCTACACTACACCCGTCTAGTGCTGCACAGGTGTGTTAAGGTTTCAAGGTCGTTAAATGTGCATGAATCTGCAAAACTGGGGCAAACGATAAGTTGCTCCATAGTACGTAATTCACCGCATTGGCAAATGGGATCAACCTCAGTGACATATCCCCATTCCTGAAGGAATCATCGAACACTATTCGGAAGCGATACAGACAGGATCAGAAAGGGCCGGGCATCACTGGAACGAAGGGATTTTGTAGAGCTGAGTGCATGTGTTCCACGTTGTTAAGGTGGCTACACCACAGGCAGAGACACTGACTAGGAGCGAATCAATGTGAGAAGTTTGTGCTCGACCCAATTACTCATACACAACATCGACCTATTCGTCTTAAGATGAATGCTGCCATCTTACCGGGCATCACTACCTTCAGGCGGCGCTTCGACCTGAAGAAGGCTGACTGGAAAAACTTCACATATCCCTGGAATCATCCATTACTGGCCTACCTGCTACCCTCAACAACTACGAAGTCTTCATCGAGTTCCTCAGTGTTTCCTCTGGGAAGAATATTCTCACATCCAGGGCCTCTCCAACGAAGCAAAAGTGCTTTACGAAGAGTAAACCGCGATTAATAATTCCGAGCCATTATATTCCGAGCCATTTTATATTGATTTCTTGGTTATGTTTGACGTGGGTTTCTTGATGGAACGAATATATAGGAGAACTCTTCCACAATGAAAGTCAAAAACCAGCAATACACAGAAATAGCGACGGAAATTTATAATTTCAAAACATTGCCAAAAATTTAAAAAAAAAAAAAAACAGATAAACTTTGATTTAAAATTTATAATTTCTTGGGCGAATTATATACGCCCATATTTGATGTGATTGCAAAGGCCAATCCAAGCAGGGTACAATGTAAGGGCCTCGCTCTGGGAGAATTTGGTATGAATTTTAATAAATATAAATTCATTATATTTTGATAGTATTTTAAGGTAGTACTGATAGTAGACACAGAAAGAAAACTACAAAACCTTCTACAGAAGGTAGCGAAGGAGGGCGAGAAGAAAGGACTAAGCATAAACTACAATAACACAGTATGCATGGTTATCAGCAAAAGGGTGAGTCCAAAATGCAAATTACAGGTCGGGGAATCTAAAAGCAACCAGGTACAGAAATTTAAATATCTAGGAAGTGTTCTAACAGAGGACAGAAAGTACAACATTGAGATCCGAAGACGTATTGGGATGACCAAAGATGCATTCCAAAAGCTAAGCAGAGTATTAAGAGACAGGAAAATTTTGTTAGAGACAAAGAAAAGAGTATTGAACTGTTATGTGATATCTATCCTTCTTTATGGCAGCAAATGCTAGACAATTTCCTCAGTGATGAAGAAGAGACTTGAAACAACAGAAATATAATTCTACAGAAAGTTGCTGAGGATACCATGGACCGAACATGTGAACAACAACAAGATTTTGGAAAGAATGGAAACGAAAAGGAAACCTATACTTAACACCAGGAAGAGGCAGTTGAAATTCCTGGGACACGTAATGAGGAAGGAGAGCTTAGAAAATCTGATACTCACAGGACAGATAGAAGAGAAAGAGTGTCACAGGAAAGCAGTGCGTAACATACTTGAAGGGCTTCAGCAAATGGATGGTGAACAGGGTTTGAGAGAAATAACAAAAAGACAAAACTTATTAAGAGCTACAGGGGAGAGGAAGAAGTGGAGGGCCATGATCGACTATGTTCTTAAGGGACATGACACATAAAAGAAGAATTGTATATGCTTATTTTTTACAATTACATTTATGTCACTATTTCTAGTTGTGGCTTGTTTGTTATCAGTTACCATTATACTAGTAGACTATCTGACGCATTCGGCGAAGGAGTGGCGTATTCAACATTTGATAATATTGCGGCAATACGCGATTTTAGGCAGTTTTCATCAACATTTCTTTTTTATGGTTAGCCATAAGGAATTTTAAATGTAGGACAACCTTACACTTAAGTAAAATAATAACAATAATATTATTTATTAAGAATTTATTACAGGAAATATCAAGTTTAACGAAAGCATTAACAATTATGTATTTAGTTACATAACAAATAAATAAAAAATAATATAAATTTTGATACTATATTCGATTTGGTGTTATGCATTTTTCAAATTCTCCTTTGTTATTGACAGCATTTTAGAATATTTTGGCTGCAATGCTAAGGTTCTTCAGTTGAACAAACTGGAACTATTTGGTTTATACTTTGTTACCTCTCTTTTCCATTGTTGTTTTTAAATCGCTTTCTTCCAGTCATTGGCAATAACAAAATTCTGAAATTTATAATGATCTTATTCCATTACAAAAATAAAGCAGGAATATTTTAAATTAATATACGGCCAAAGATAAAAACGCTTTTGACAAAAACTATTCTAATTATGTAACAATAATGTAATGATATTCAGCAGACAAATCTGCGGTTTATGTTACCTCATCTCATTGCATGGTGACTGACTATAAACCTAAATTGAGCTTGAAATATTGTGTAATCGGCTCTAATTGTTTGTAAAATATTTGGATAAGATATCAGGTCATCCCATAAGTTCTGTCCGAATTTTGAATAAAGAAAACAAGTGACCAAATGTTACATTTAATTACAGATTCAATCAACAATGTATTTTCTCTGATTATCTATGACTTCCTTCCATCTATTAACAAGCTTACTAATTCCATTACTGTACAATTCTTTTGGCTTTGATTCGAAGAACTCACAAATATCAAGTTTTAACCTCTTCCTGTGTTACAAAAGCTGTTTCTTCCAATTTGATTCTGTAAGCTACGAAACAAATGGTAGTCTGAAGGAGCAATATCGGGAGAATAAGGTGGATGAGGAATTTTCTCCCAACCAAGTTCTTCGATCTTTTGTGACGTAATTCTTGCTGTGTGGGGTCGCGCATTGTCCTGATGAAACATCACACCCTTTCGATTCACTAGAGCAGGTCTTTTTTCCTCAAAGCTTGGTTCAAACGCTCTAATTGCTGAGAGCATATTTGAGCATTAATTGTTGCATTAGGTGGTAAGAATTCAAAGTGGATTATTCCTTGGCGATCCCACCAGATTGAAAGAAGTTGTTGAAGATGACAATGAACAGTTGTATGGTTTGAACTGAGAACCACTGCCAATTCCTCAACTGATAAAGCAGGATTTTCTTCAAGGGCTGCTTCAAGAAGCTTTTCATCAAACTCAACTGGACGTCCGGTTCGATCTTCATCTTCAAGGGTGAAATCTCCACCTCTGAATTTTGCAAACCATCTTCTGCAAGTTCTTTCATTCACACATTCCTCTCCATAAACTGAGTGAATGTTTCTAGGCACTTCGGCTGCTGAGTTTTCTTTTCTTGAACTCATAAAGCATTATGTGCCTCAAATGATTCTTGGGTACTTCCATGTTAGCAGAATTTTAATTTTATTGTTCTCTGAAATAAAATTTGATCAGTTTAAATGCATCTAAGCATAAAAATAATGTTCAGCTCCATTAGACATTATAAAATACTCTTTAAATTTCGTTCATTTTAACAAAAAGTTAAAATTCGGACAGAAATTATGGGATGACCTGATATAATGAATAATTTGCAGTGAAAAAAGCAGTTTTTTTTTTTTTTATTTATTTTGTTTTTTTGTTTAGGTTGTTTGTTCGGGAGGTTTTCTTCCTTGAGATTTTTCTGTTAATTCCCCCCCCCCAATCAAGAAATTATAAATTTTAAATCAAAGTTTATCTGTTTTTTATTAAATGTTTGGCAATGTTTTGAAATTATAAATTTTAAATCAAAATTTGTTTCGCTTGCCTCGCAACAATTCGAACCCTCAGAATGCAAAATTAGCAAAAATCAGGGAGTTATTTCACATTTCCCATTTCAATTTCGTAAGTGCGGATGCTAGTCGAGGTATTTACAAAGGATTTTTGACAATTTAAAAAAAAAGAAAAAAAATGATCTTGGCTTGTTTATCGGGATGTGAGCGAATGTAGACTCCACAATTAGAATTAGCTCACCTGAGTCTCCCATATTTGATGTGATTGCAAAGGCCAATCCAACCAGGGTACAATGTAAGGGCCTCGCTCTGGGAGAATTTGGTATGAATTTTAGTAAATATAAATTCATTATATTTTGGGGTGAATTCACAGAAAAGTTCCGATTTTTGTTTTAGAGGAGATCGTTAAGTGTCTTCTTAGCTAGTTTTCTATGGTTTTCTTGCTGAGTGTTATGATGTCGATTTGGGGTTAGTAGAGACAAACGCCAAATAACACGTAACAATAAAAAGGGTTTTAATAGGTTGGTAAAAAGGTACAGAAATCGCCTGAGTAGTCAATAACTAGCTCAGCTAAGAACTTCTCTGTCTATCTGTCTTAGCATTTATCGATCCACCCACGAGGATTGAATATGGCACAAGGCCGGTTTAATGTGGGTATCTCCGAGTCCGTAGGCTCGGCCAAAAATATAGCCCTTGAACCCGCCTAGACGGGTTCATGCCCTGTCTACCTCCCCGGACGAAACCTTGCCCTTCGGCAAAGCTTCGTCCGGGTCCCTATCACGACTCAGCTAGACTCGGAGATCTTACCCTCTCGGTCTATCTGCCTCATGTCAACTGACATGCCACTATTTAAAGTCTTGGTTCACAGACAAGTTCATCTTCAAGAGGGGTGGTAGGTTTCCGACACAACACTGAGTGACGTTCTTAGGGTTGTTAGTAAAGAGCTTCCGGATTGCGATGCGGGTTGAGATATTGATCTTTGTTTTTCTAGTTCTATATTTGCTTGAGTTGGAATGTTGGTGTTTTTGAATGTGTATTTCGGTTTTAGTTGAGGGCGTGTATTTTGGTGGCTTTTAATTTGTATTTGATATAAATGTCTCTATGAAATTTTAACTTCACTAGAATTTTTTTTTTCTTTTTTTTTTTTGCAACACTCCGACGCGTGTGGAAATCCTCACAGTATTCCATTGTCGAAGTTATCGCTAATATTTTTTGTCGGAGGTTAACCGTTATCTTTCCTGAATATCCTCATAAACTACGATTCTTGCCTTTTCTTACGCTAATACAACATGGCACAGTAACCCGCGACCTTGAGTGGCTTTGTAAGATAGCGAAAAGCGAACAAACTACGCACACGTAATATTTCGCATTTAAATAATGTAAAAATACACTGGGTTTATTTACGAAGCGTAATGCCTTCCAAATGTTAAGCAAAGTATCAAGGAACAGGAAAATGTCATTAGAAACAAAGAAAAGAATACTGAACTGTTACGTAATATCACTCCTCCTATATGGGAGAGATGGATTCATGCCTTTCTGTTGGAAGTGAACGCAATAATCTAAGCCGGCACTCGAACTGGGACGTAGCTCGCTGATACTATTTTCTTACACCACCCGCATATCTTTAGGGACTTTTTTATAGACTAGAATATTTTGGCAACACGGTGACTCGTATTAAAATCC